GTGCAAGGCTGCTATCTGGACACGGTGTGACTATTTGACTTGCAATGTGATGGTGTGATCTGGGTTTGTCATCTCGCTCTTGCTTATTTTCCTTGCATTACGCTGCTCACGCAGAAAAATAAACTAAAGTTCCTAACAGCTTTTGCCTCAGGATAACATCGGAATTCCYCCCCCCCCCCGAAAAAAAAAAAAAAACTGCAAAACTTAATAAAAAGTAATTTTCTTTTTTTTTCTTAAGAGGCCCCACCGGGCAAGTGGTCCCGGGCCATTCTGGTAAATTAGGTTTGTACAATAATAGGTGACCTAACCGCCGCCGACTGAACATGCCAATAGTGGCAAAATTCGCCTGAGCTACTGAACAATATGCAATGGGCTTTTTCAGCCTTTTTCAGATCGATTTGTCTTCATGTAGATACTAGATACGTTTAGAATGTTGTGTAATGGAGCCAGGCTCATTATCCCTGCGAGTGTCCATGGACTCCATTCTCTCTCTCTTCTTCTTCTTCTTTTTTTTTTTTTTTTTAACAAGTGTCCATTCTCCTTTTCTCAGATGTTCCTTTTCCATCGTACCTGCAATATAGGTTTCACAATTGATTCCCCTCCCCCCCACCCCCTCCCCCCCCTTCAACTCCCCAAAGAACCAAAACTTGCAAAAGTCCACATCTTTTCTCTAACTTTTCTTTGATTCGTCACCTTCAAACGGGTCCAGTGAATGCAGTCAGGATTCTGTGGTAGGACTCCCACAGCACTGTGGTACTAGTAATACTCACTGAGAGACATTTTCAAAACCGTATTGCAGAGCCAGTGGGAGCACTCCAACAGCGCTGCACACTGCAACCACAGAGACAGTATCAAACACAGAAACGAACGAGAAGAGAAAACGAAAAAAAAAAGAGAAAAAAAAAGAAGAAAAAAAAGGTCAGTCTCTGTTGAATGCACTTTGAAGTCTGAAATTTGAAACTTTGAACTTTGAACACAAAGCGAAATCTTTCATGCACTGAAATCATATTGAAAGGTTGGAGTCTGTCGGACCAAACATACTCAATTGTTATGGTTGAAACTCGGATGACGATTAAACCGACCGCACTGTACTCACATACAGTTTGAAACTAGAACTTTGGTTCAAAATGAGATGAGAAATTCACACTAAAATTGACCAAATTGCTAGGCTACCAGCCGGGCCGCCCGGGTCACCCTATTTTCCCTGGCGGCCTGGCCGTGCAAGGACCAGGGAAGGTCCCAGCCCAAAAAAAAAATAAAAAAATCCGAAAAAAAACTATGTTGTGCAGAAAAATAAACTTAACAACTTTTGCCTCAGGGTTAGATCGAAATTCTTTACCAAATTTAAAATTAAAATTTACATAAAATTTTATTATTATTATTATTATTATTTTAAAAAAAATCTTCTTTTTTTTGGCCCGGCTGGGCAACTGGACCCGGGCCACTCTGGTAGCCTAGCTAAATTGACTAAATTGTATTTACATGAGAGTCATGTTAAGACGGTCTGAGTTGCACAATACAGATTGAACTTTATCCTCCACTGAAATCATGCAGATGTCTAGTGCCTGGGTACCCCATGTACGGAGCCCCATGGGGAATAAATATTAAATATGAACTATTATGAAGATAAAATCATTAAAATGTTAGTCTGCATTTGAAAGATAAATTCAAAAAATCAGAAAATCTAGCATTCAGGGCAAGAGGTCCTTCGGGGCATCCGTTAAAAATTTCGCGACGGTACAGAGAAGATCCGCATGGCCCCTGCATGAAGATGACACGCATAAATCGAGAAATGGTCTCAAAACAAAACGGTTCCAGTGTGCGCTTCATGTTTGTGTCTTCTGTACAGTTTCAGTGCGCTCTTCGAGTTCATCTTCAGATTCGTTCCGATTTTTGAAGTTTGTTTCGAACAAAGTGCACTCTTTTTTCTTTGTTTCTTTTCTCCTTTTATTTTTAAGAAAAAGGGCAACGGCCTTGAGATATCATCATTTTTGAGTGACCGGCACCAGGTTTTTCAGAAATATTCATTCATTTGAATCCCTTCATGAATGTCCATTCAGGATTTGAACTTAGGACCTGGTTTTCAACAGTTCATGGGTGTACCAACTGCGCTAAGCTCGTTGGTACGCTCTTTTTCTTCCAATTTAGTTGATAGATATGTCACATGTGACAACATATATGCAACTTAAACCCAAAAGAGGAAAACGAACTTGGACTGGGTGGATGGCCAGGTGGAATAACAAGCACAAACAAGCCCACAGGCCAAGGGATATTCACTGAAGGTGTGGAGACTCACCACTGTATCGCCCTCCCACCCAGTCCCAGAAACCGAAAGCATTATCTGTGTTGATTCCAAACTCACCCACCAGCTACACAGCAGTGCAAAATCACAATCAGAAAAAAACAGAATGTGAAAAGTTGAAAACAACATCAGGGTGAAGCAGATGAGGAGAAAATTATAAACCTCAAATTAATGAGCGCAATCGACATACTGGCATTTCACAATCGCTATGACAATTGGGGAGCATACAATTTTGTTTATTTGTTTATTCATTTATTTCAAATTAGTTATTTATTATTTATTTAAAATCATTTATTTATTTAAATTTTAAAATTATTTATTTATTTATTTGCAAACAACGTTAGATACACAGAGCTGGGAAACGGTCTTAGCATCCTTGTACCGTACAACAGTCTGGGCAGACAGGGCCAGGCACTTTGGCGTGGTCCTCTCCAGAGACACTGTGCAGAAAATGAAATGAAAGGTTCACACATACCACACTCTAACCCCCACAATCAACACTGCAATGCACATAATGATTTCTTTTTTAATTTAAACAAGCGGACGCACCCCAACGAAGCTGCGGCTCGGTGCAGGGATGAGAGGACGCGTGTGAGGGAATGGAGGAGAAAAAAATATTCATGGACAGGAACCTTAACTGAAATTCACACATTGCATACCGATTAATCTGTTAATGAAAAACAACAATTCAGCAGAAAGCAACAAATGAAATGAAGAATTGATCATTGACAATCAAGAAACAAATCCGTAAACGAACGGCAGTCACATGGCAAGTCATCATAGGGGCGAGCGACGGGCGAAAAACAACAACACAGGCGATCACAAGTACGTTCGTGGATTAAGTCCACGAAACGACATACTGTCCGCTTGGCAAGATTTCAATTAGGAAACATTCACATCATAGTCCACCGCCCGTCCACCCTCTTTCCAGCACACCCAGGATCTGCCATCTCTCCGTCAAAACAAAGGCAGCTACCGACAAACAGCTCAAGGCTACTTGTCGGCGGCTGCTAAGTGCTATGCCGTAATTGACTGTTTCCCTCCAGCATGTTTCTTTCCCGAAACTCGGATTCCCGAGCATCCATCCACAGATCGGGTGCTCTTCCTGCCCTGCCCTTTGCGTCCCATTTACCCAACATAGATTGAACGGTTTCAATATCAGACAAAGCGAGAGAGGGAGTTTTCTCCTCAAAAACGATGCCTGCAGGTGCGTGGCACATAAGGCATGAATGCAGGATCGTTTGGTGGTGGGTGGCGGGAGGAATCTCTCTCTCTCTCTCTCTCTCTCTCTCTCTCTCTCTCTCTCTCTCTCTCTCTCTCTCTCTCTCTCTCTCTCTCTCTCTCTCTCTCTCNCCGAATAGTCTGGGAGCAGGTGGCAGGAGGGGCCTCTCTCTCTCTCGCTCTCTCTCAATAAAAACAAACAAAAAAAAAACAACGAACCTTAATCCTCCCTCCTCCCCCCTCTGAGTCCCTCTATCCTCTGTTTATTCTCTGGCTTGCTCCATCGATCGTGAATGTCCTTCTCCGTCCTTTCCCTGCTGTGTATCTTCTCTTCCTTCCACCGTCACGGTCCTCTTCCCTCATCCACCTCCATCAACCCCCTCCATCCTCCTTCCTTGTCTCTCTCCCTCCGTCCTCCCTCCTCATCCTCCCTTCATCTTCCCTCCGCCGTACATCATCCCTGTCCTCCTCTTTCCTCCTCTATTCTTCGCGTCCATCATCCATCCTCTTCTCTCCACTGTCGTGGTCATTCTCCCTCCTTCTCTATCCCTTCTCCTCCATCCTTCTCGCCTGTCCTGTAAGACTCCTGTTTGTTCTCATCCATAATTGCTCTCTTCACCGTCGCCACCATTTTGTTCAGTGTCGTTGTCACCGACTCACCGCACATGTTGTCATGTTTGCTATACACACAAAAGCATACCTGTGTGCGTGCGGCAGCGGAAAGAACAAACCCACTGGAGCTGCCCCGCCTCTGACACAAATCACCTCCATCCTCTTCACCTTTGTATCCTTTCTCATTTCCCTTGCTCCTCCCTATATTGCTCGTGTTCCTCCTCTCTCGATTGCTCCTCCGCTCTTGTTTGTCGCCCCTCTATCTGCCTCTCACCTTCGGCGTTGCTCCCTTGATCATCTCATCATCCCTCCATCTGTCTCAAACCTCCGTCATACTTCCCTCCGCTTCCTCCGTCGGAGTCCATCCATTGAGCGAGATCCCAACATTGCTCGTCCCTCCATTCTCTTCCATGTATAAATTTTCATCCATCTTCTTTTCCCATCGTCTCACCTTCACCCGAATAGACCACATTAGTAATAACCACTGTATCTAGTCTGAAAGTTCACCCAAATACAGCTATAATGACCCTGCGTTCTATTCAGGTGAAGAAAGCAGGGTTGTTATGTAAGGTATGCCCCTGAGCAGGGTGGATTTTGAGGAGATGCCCTACCTACACCGCAGCCCACTTTTCCTATTGGTTAAGGGGTCCGCTTGGCAAGCCGAAGATCACGTTCTCAGTTCACCTGGGACACAATGCAATTCTCTATCTATCTATCTATCTATCTATCTATCTATCTATCTATCTATCTATCTATCTATCCACAATGCAATTCTCTATCTATCTATCCATGCCTTAGTGCAATTCGAGCTATAGAAAGTCTCAAATCTGCACCCTCTATCAATGCCTTAGTGGAACTCAAACTTTCCATATCCATTAGCACCTTCCATTCCTCGAACTCTAGCCCTGAATGACTTGTGGTCATATATAGACCTGTTGAGCTACCAAGACAGGTTGAATCAACTTGAATGCCTTTCTTTAAGTTTTTTTCCTTTTTTTTTCAAACAAACGAAAAACAGGCCTAGGTCTTTCTGCCCCTGGCTCCTTATCCACATTCTGAGGATCGTCAGTTCGGTTCGTATTCACCCGGCAAGTAAAAAAAAAAAAAAAAAAAAAAAACAATGTTGACACCCATACGCTTCACGCTTCCTTCTACCGTTCGGGCGAAAGACTTCTGAGCAGCAAAAATACAATCGAGGATAAGTGCTCAGGAATCCCACAGTCGTCGGCGGTCCCACAGTCGCCAGCGGTCCCGCAGTCGCCCGCGGTCCCACAGTCGCCAGCAGGAGTTTGGGGATGGAGTTGGGAGGACTTGAATGTGCTTAAGACAGATTGAGTGCTGATTCCCTTCCTTCAAAAAGGAATATGCTCACAAGTCGCGACTGATGAGACCCTGAAGACAGATTAAGTGCTGATTCCCTTCCTGTGCTGAGGGCCAGTCCAAAAAAGAATATGCTCACGTGTCAGGGACTCAGGGCTGATTAGACCCTGAGGGGGGGTCATCCCTGCAATTCTTCACCCTCACCTTCAAGTTAGTACTCACTGCGACCATATGCTTGGCAACTGCCGATTCCCTGGGTTACAAAACAAAAACACGCCACACGAGCAGGGGTCAAGGCTACAGCATTTTTTTTCTTTTTTTTTTAGGATCAGATATTAAACTGATCAGAACAGATACTACACTTGATCTTGGCCAAAAGGCCGAGAAAGGGTTTTTTTTTTTAAATTTATTTTAATAATAACTTAATAAGTTAACAGCATTTGCACAGAGCGCAGCCCTTGTTGCTGAATGGTAACGGGACAAAGTAGCGCAAAACATGCAATTGTTAATGAACAGAACACGAGTTCAAATCACGACAGAATAAGATGTACACATACAGCGCAGGTCGGGAGGTCGCTCGTACTGTTTCACGCGCTTCCAACGCCCTCCGCGGATTTGTGCTGGGGCTGCCCAGAAGCGGACCGAGCGAGCCAAGTGGCCTGGCTGCCCGGGAGGCCAACCGAGCGAGCCAACCGGCCGGGCACCTGGGAGGCTACCCGGGCAGACCAGCGACCAGCATTGAATAAAACATTGAAATAAAAAATAAAAAAATTGAAGAAAATCCGGCTTCACACCGCTCACAGCGGTGTTCACACTCGTCATCAAGCAATCACATGTTACAGGCAGAGCCACTCTTTATTTGGGGAGACCCCTTCTGTCTTTCAGGGGGTGCATGGAACTTGGCAAGTAAGATTTACAATTACTCAGCCGGTACACCCACGAACTGTTGAAATGCAGACCTGAGTTTGAATCCAGATGGATTAGATGAATGAAATTCTTGAATACATGGGGCCAGTCAGTCCCATGTTGATCTCTCCTTTTTTGCCCACTAAAAAAGGGTGATGGCCTTGAGATATCACCATTGAACATACTGGCCCCATGTAATTCAGAATGATTCTATTCTGGTCATCTGGTTGCTCCAGTTGCGTCTGGATTCAAACTCAGAGCTGTACTTCAAAAGTTCATGTGTGTACCAACTGACTCAAGAGTCAAAACTGATCTAGGCCAGTTGATAATTGCACGTTGATATCCCAAGGTCGTTGCCCTTTTTCAAAAAGGAAAAAAAGGGAGAAAAAAAAAAAAGGAGAATTCCAAGTACAACCCATGTAACAATCGTGTCACCCTCTGTGTCAATCTCCCCCTGCCACATCCCCCTACCCAGTATCCATGCCTCCTCCATATGCCTAGCCCACTCCCGTTTGGTCTTTCGCGACCAACTATTTGTCACTTCTGGTAATCTGCATGCAACTGTATGTGCTCTCACATACCTTGCACCCACAGTCGATGTGAGGGACTAACTAATAAACGATAGACGAGTCGAGGGCCCGCATGTACTGGGTGTGCAGGGTCAGGTGCAACTACAGTCCTGGAAGTCGCCGGCGGAAATGAATGTGGCAAAGATGGTGAACAAAGGCGTTGGCCATGGGTTAAGGTCTTCAAGCCCTCCCCCCTTGCGGCCAAGTGGATGAGGGGGGCGGTGGAATACTTTTTTGGCCCGGTCGTCACTGAGCAAACATTTGACGACGAGGACCGGGATTTCGTGAGGTACGTAATAGCTGGCCCTATGAAGAATCCGTTCAAAAACAGTGTGGCTGTGGCCACGGGTCCATATAGTTTCGAGGAGGTCAGGATTGTCACGAGCGACACCCCTTTTTGCGAAGTCTGCTTCACACACGGACATATCGGAGCACATGGAAGATGCTTGTCGCATGCCGAGACGATGCAGGCGCTGTATAATAGAGAGCATAGGAGTGCCATGGACCCAATACTGCACTCGGACCCGGAAGCGGAGAGAAGGGCTTGGCACGACCTGGAAATCCAAATGGATCTGGTGGTGCAAGAGGAGATCAGAGCAGCAGCCCACGTGGAGGACGAGACAGCAAGGCCACAGGAAGGGGACCCACGGCGAAGAAGGAAGCCAAGACGTGGGAGGGGCTACAGGCAGAACGTCTCATGGGAGGGAGGGGGGATGATCCGATGCACAGACGGATGAGCCACGATGGCTGTTTGGGGAAGAGAAGAAGAGGAAAGCCGAGCAGGTCGACTGGGGGTCGGAAGCGGGGAGAAAGTTGAAGGTGGTCGAGGAACAGAAACAGGGTAAGGGCGTGGACTAAACGGAGGAGGAGAGAGGCCAACGTAACAGGGATGGAAAAACGGAGGGAAGCAGCATGGATGACTCAGAGGAAAGAGACCAACGAAAAAGCGGGGGCTGACCCATTTGGACCATCATATGTTGTTGATGTCCCACTGCATCTACAAACCTATCCGGTCTTCCATGCATCTAAGCTGTTGCCTTTTACATCAGCTGATGCATTTCCGGACAGACCCCCTCAATCTGGTCCACCGATCCCTGGCAAGGGAGATGAAAGCCTGCGGCCCGTCGAACCGAGGCTGTAACATAGGTAGGACAGATTCGTAATTTTGTTTCTACCATGTACTAACTGGGAAACCAGCGTGTGGGGAAATACGTGAGGGACATATCTGCGAATACGGAACCCACACTAATTTTATTTCCCTATAGCTAGCCTAGCTGCGAAAAGCAGGCCTGGGCTATCACACGAACAGGCAGGCTTCCGAGCCTGAACTGATGGAGAGGTCCTACAGCCTATAGCCGGGTATAGGCAGAGGCTGAAGAGGCCAAAACGGAACGGTACCGGTCGGTCCAGTGAGTCCGGTCTAGGTCGAGTCTAGTCTAGGGTAGTTCTATTAATAGAATGAGGAAGTCTGTTCAGGGCTTTTGACGGTTGGCATTTTTGCAGATCGCGACGGCACAACGCGTGAACTGGAGTGGTGACAGCTTCAGCGTTGAGAGATAGACAGACATAGCCAGACCCTTGAAGCATCTTCCATAGCTGGGTCCTTCGCTGTTCTCTGGCAGCACGTGGGGCTGCTCAGAGGTCTGGGCTATCTGAGGTCTGCTGGGAGCGTGAGAAGTTGGTGTCCTGCGGAACCCTCCTCAGGAGTAGGGTTCAGGGCGGTGGCGCTGCAGCCATAGCTGCAGCTTACATCCTCAGAGATCTTCTTTGTCAGGAAAGGTGGCGCTGCTGCAGATCTTCACCTGTGAAGTCATCTGGCACTTCATCTTCATCAGGGACTGTGATGATGGTCTTCTTCTTCATCCTCTGAGAGGCGCTTGGCCTCAGCGGCCTGTTTCAGGGTGGCGCTTCCCTCTGGAGGCAGTATCTGGGTGGCGCTGGTTGTTTCAGGGGTTCTGTGGTAGTAGATAGCGGTAACTCTGGGTTGGGGGAGAGGCGCTGCTCATTCCTGAGGAGCGCACCATGTTCCTGAGACTATTCTGGCAAAACAATTCTCTGAGTTTAATAAACAGTGTGGATGATGTGTGAGAACTATCTTTGCTTCATTGTTTTCCTGGATGTGATCTACTTGGCTTTCCTTTGTGACTGGTTGTGGGGACTCTGTGGAGCGAATTGCACTTTCAGTGTATTCTGTCATATCGCATGGACAAGGCTTCCGCTGTGTTTCATTCTCTCTGTGCGGTGTGATACTCCTAACCTCTCCCCTTCCTTCTGTGTGTATGGGCATGCGTAGAAGTCTATGTGAGCGAGTGTTGGTCTTCTGACAACAAGCAACATGGCATAGCAAACGTAAGGCCTACCCAAGTGATGAGATGATCCAGCTGCGAACAGTTCGAGCATTCAACATTGTCTCTGCGGTTGTGAAAGTCTTCGACACGACCACCACTGCCAGTCCATGAGTGAAACACGAACAACCAATTACCTCAGGATTAGGAAACAGGATGACGCACAAAAGAACAATAATATTCTTTCAGCTTGCTACGCCTGCGAATCATGAGAATACTGCTGTGGACCTATTGTTGTGAGGGCACGTCAGAGCTGTGGTGCCCATATACCATAATGTCCGTATCAGAAGAACTGAAAATGGGTAACAATAGGAAATGTTGGAGTCCCCGAAACACCTATGTTTTGCGAGGTCAGGGATTCATCTTCTACTTGGCCACCGGAGGACCAAAAAACTTGGCAATTGTTTCTTCTTGTTTTTCTTTTTCTTCTTCATTCCTCTTCTTCTCCTTCTCGGCAAGAAACATAAATACATAATAGCATAATCCTTACAACAGCAGGCAAGAAAAGAGACGCGAATCTGTGAACATGTACACCTCCTTTTTGCAAACACATGAGCCCTCATCTTTTACTTGGCCACCGGAGGACCAAAAAACTCGGGAATTGTTTCTTCTTCTTTTTCTTTTTCTTCTTCATTCCTCTTCTTCTCCTTCTCGGCAAAAACAATAAAGTTGAATAAACACATAATAGCATAATCCTTACAACAGCAGGCAACAAAAGAGACGTGAATCTGTAAACGCGTACCCCTCATTTTTGCAAACACATGAACCCTCCCCCGCCCCCAACACACACACACACACACACACACACACACACACACACACCACCACCACCATTCTCTTTGGTTCCTCCTAGAAGTGATAAAACTCTACAGAAACCAAGAACAATTTGTAAAAAGAATCTGAAGTACAACTCCTTGGGAAACTGATATCCTACATTGTATTACATTGACATAACAAAATAAACAACTAAAATAACAGAAATAGGTCGTTTGGGGACATCCGTTAGATTTGGAACGCTGCAGAGAAAGAAGATTAGCATGGCCCCTGTGCAAGGATGGCACACAAAAATCGGCAAATGGTCCAAATTTGAGGCAAACAAAAAACAAAACAAAACAAACAATCAAACAAACAAACAAACAGAAAATGCCAGAAAATGGCAGAAAAAAATAGGAAAGGTTCCTGGAACAAGAGCACCACCATCATCATCATCGTAAGTTGCCGTTGCCATAATCATTATCCCGCTCCGTCATCTTCATCTTCATCTTCATCTTCATCTTCATCTTCATCATCATCATTGTCATCATTATCATCGATGCACTTCGGTTTTATCATCATCGTCGTCATTATCATCATTATCATGAAACAGAAATATCATGGAGTTCCGGTTGAAGCCCATCAGGATTCAGGATTGAGAGAAATATTATGTTTTTTTTGTGCATTTGAAAGCTTGAAGATTGAATTCTAACAAACAAACAAAAAAAAAAAAAAAAAAAAAAAAAAAAAAAAAAAAAAAAAAAAAAAAAAAATTCAAAGCACCGGTGTGAAGCAGAACAATGCAATGCAGTTGGGGAACGAGAAGGCGGAGGTGTCTCACCCAGTGTTGTCTCCGGTTGAAGCCCATCAAGATTGAGAGAAATATCGACAGGATCAACATTTGACAGGCTGCAACACAAGCGCGTAAATGGGAAAGTTTCAAAACGATATTTCTAAAAATACCACTGGCAGTGGCATCAACATTCGGATGGTTGCAAAAACAACCATTCTTTCTTTGTAAAGGGAAAAACAGCGAGGACAACTGTCACAGAAAGCTTGAGCACTGGCAGAGATGGACAAAAACAACAAAAACAAAACACAACTCCTCCAAAACACTGGCGCCCGCATCATCCTCATGCGCTGGTCATTCCCCTTTATACAAGGAACAGCAATACATGACTTCCACAATTGCTATGCCCTCACGGTTGACCGGGGGGTGGGGTGGGGGCGGGG